AGAGAGGAGCGAGACACGAGGAAAGGCAAGGCGGAGGGAGAGAAAGGGGAGGCAGGGGAAAGCGGCGACGGAGGGGAGAAAAGGGGGAGAGTAACGAGGGAGAGGGAAAAACCCAGGGGGAGGGGAGCGGGGGCGGAGCACGCGGGGGGAACGGGCAGAGGAACAAGGGGAGCGGGGAAAACCCGGGAGAGCGGAGCGGGGGCGGAGGGCGCGGGGGGAGGAGGACAGCGGGGGCGAAGGACGCGGGAAGGCGGAGGAACAAGAGGAGCGGGCGAAAAACCGGGGGGGAGGGAGCGGGGGGCGAAGCACGCGGAGAAGGGGCGGGGGCACGGAGGCACGAGGGGAGCGGGGGGAGCGAAGAAGAGGGAAGGGCCGCCGGGAGGGAAAGGAGAAGAGGGGACGAGGAGGATGACACCACCGCGGAACCACGAGAAAGCGCGCGCGCGAGGGACGGACGGCGCAGAGAGAGGCGGGCAGGCCGAGAGAGCGGGGAACGAACCCGGGACGGGGGAGGGCGGAGCGGGAGCGGGCGGGGGGGAGAGGCCCGCGGGGGCAGGCAAGGGAAAGGGGAGACAGCAGCCGACAGCGAGAGCGAAGGGGGCGAACGGGAGGCAGGGAGAAAGCGCGCGGGGAGCACGACACAAGGAAAGCAGAACACGGGGCCGGGACAAGGCCGCGGGGCACACGCGAAGTGGGAGACGGGGGAGGCGGGGGACGGAGAGGGGAAGGGACAAAGGGGGGGGGCAGAAGAAGGGGGAAAAAGGGAGAGAAGGCGAGGCACCCCCCCGCCCGCGAGACGGCGCGCCACCCGGCGGGACCAACAAGGGGGAGCAGAGCGGGGGCGAGGGGAGGCAGGCGGGACGGCGAGAGCAGAGCGCGAAAACGGCAAAGAGGAAGAGAGAGAGGGGGCGGCCGCAAAAGGGGCGGGGCGCACGGAAAAAGGGGAGGAGGGGAAAAGACGGAGGCAGGGGCACGAGCGGCGGGAAAGGACGAAAGGGGGGAAGGCAGCACAAAGGGGCCGAGCCAAAGGAGGGAAGCGAAGACCGCGACCCCACGAGAGCCAAAGGCGCCACGAAGAGGCCAAAGCCAAAAAGGGAGGGGACAAGGAAGAGAGAGGCGAAAGAACGGGGACAAGAGGGCCAAGGACAGGGGGGGCAAAAGCGGGCGAGGACACCAGAGGCCCAAAAAGGCGAAAGGGCACCACGAGCAAAAGAAAGAGGGGAGACACGCGAGGGAGCGGGGAAGGCGAGCGAACAAGAAAAAGACAACAAACGAACCAGGGCCAGGAAAGAGGGGCGAAGAGGGCAAAAGGCGACCGAACGAAAGCAGCACCGACAGGGAAGCGCGAGGGAGCAAAAGACGGGGAGAAAGCACGGAGCGGGGAAAGACCAGGACCCAGAAGGAAAGAGCGCGCAAAGGGGGACGCGGACGACCGACAAAGGGGAGAGGAAGGGGACCGCAAGGCGACGAGCAGAGAGAGCGAAGGACAGGAGCGACGGAGAAACGCGGGAGGGAGCGAAAGGCGGAGGAGGGCGAGAGGAAGACACGAAAGGAAGAAGAACGGGAGAACGAACAGCCGCAGGAGGGCGAACAACCGGCCGCAGCAAGGGCAGGAGGAAAGAAGGAGGGGGAGCGGACGAACAAGGGGCCGGAGGGGGGAGGAAAGGCAAGAAGGCAGGCGAAAGAACAAAGGAGCACCACAAGGAAAGGCGGGCGAGAGAGAAGAGAAGAGCAAGAAGGGAAGCGGCGAAGAGAACACAAAGGGGGGGACAAGGGGAGAAAGCCGGGACAGGGGAGGGCGAAGGGCCACACCCAAGGGGAACAAAAGGCGAAAGACGGCGAACGCGCCACCAGGGGAGGACAAGGCGAAAGAGAAAAAAGGCAAAAAGGACAAACGGAAGGCACGAAGAAGCGAGCCGCGAGAAGCAAGGGAAGCGAAGAAGCAGCGAGGGACGAGAGGAGGCAGCACAAGAAGACGAGAACGCGACGAGGTGAGGTGGCAAACAGCCGAACAGGAGGAAGGCGAGAGTGCGCGCGAAACCGACGAAGAGGGAGCGGCGAGGGCGGGAGGGCGGGAGGGCCGGGACACGCGGGCGAGACGCAAGAAGCAGGGCAAAGGCGAGGGAAGAGGGGCAAAAGGGCAGGGCCACGCAGACGCAAAGCAAAGAGCGCAAGAAGACAGAAGCCGGGAAGAAGGAGAAAGAGCACAAAAAGGGCAAAAGGCGCGAAAGGAAAGGAGGAACGGGAAAGCCGAAAAGAGGCGACGGCAAGAAGAGGGCAAAGCGAGAGAGGGGAGAGAACAGAACCGGCGGAAGGAAGCGCAGTCAGGGACGACAGGCAGCCAAAAGAAGGGAGAAAAGGGGAAACAGGCAAAAAACCCGCGGGAGAGAAAGCGGACGAGGCGACGAGCCAGCAGGGGCGAAAACCCCGCAAAAGGGGACGAAGGCGACGACGACGGGAAGCAAGAAAGGGCCAGGGGGAAAAGGGGAAAAAGGCAACAGAGCACAAGGAGACAAGGAGGGGGAAACAAAAGGAAGGCCCAGAAAAGGGGGCAAGGCCGAAGCAACACAAGGAGAGCGGGCAAGACAACAATAAGGGGAAAGGGCAAAAAGGGGGAGCGCAAAGGAGAACCAACGAGGCGAGGGCAAGAAAACCGCAGAGGAAGAGGGGAAGAAGGCCGAGAAGGGGGGCGGGGAGAGGAGAGCCCGCAGAAGAAGAGGGGGCGCGGGAAGCAAACCAGGGACCAAGGCCAGAGGGGCGCGGGGCAGAGAAGCAAGCAACGAGCAGCGGCCCAACCCGCACCGAAGCAGGAGGCGAAAGGGCGGGAGGAGGAGAAAGGGGGAAGGGGGACAAAGCACCGACGCGGGGAGCAGGGGAGCGAGGGGGAGGGGAGGCCAAAAAGGACGAACACAAAAGGACCCAAACAAGGAGGGGACCGAAAAAAAGGAAGCGGGGGGCAGGAAGGGGGAGGGCGAGAGGGGGCGCGCGACAGAGGACCGGCAAGAAAGCGAGGCGAGGGGAGGGCAAAAGGAGCGAAGGACCAAAAGGAGGGGGCGGGGGAAACGAGCGAGAGGGAAGGACAAAAGGAACCGGCGCAAGGGGAAAAAGGGGCGACGAAGGGAGGACGGAGCGGAGGGCGAAGGAGGAAAAGGGAACGGGGGGAGGACAAGGCAAGGGGGCGACAAAGGAGAGCGCGGAGAAGGGACAAAGGCAAAGGGCAAGGCAAAGACGAAGCCACGAAAGAAGGCGGACGCGCCGGAGCAAGAAAGAAAAACAGGGAGGGGGAGGGGAGGACAACAAAAGAAGGCGGGAGGCGGGAGGGCAAAGAAGGCGAAGGAAGCGAGGGGGAAGGGCACAGAAGGCGAAAGCAGGGGAAGGGCAAAACCAGCAACAAGCGGGCCAAAAAGAAGGGAGGCGAAGGACGACCCAACAGGGGGGGCAAGAAAAGCAAAGAGGGGAGGCAGGCCAGAAAGGAAAACAAAGCAAAGCAGCAGGCAAAGCCAAAGCGCAAGAGGCAACAGCAAGACCCGGAAGGCGACGGCACAGGGAGGGAGGGGGCCAGGAGACCCAGGAAGGAGAAGGGGGAAGAAAGAGACGGGGGGGGGGGAGGAGGGGGAGGGACACAGGGACAAGAGGCAGCAAGAAAAAGGAGGAAGGCGGAGCAAAGGGGCCAGAGCGAGGGAAAGCGACGACAAGGCGAAAAAGACAGGAAGAGGCAACAAGGCGAACGAGCGAGGAACAGAGGGCGGAGGAGGAGGCAAGCGGACGGCAAGGCACAAGGAAGGGGACAGCAAGGAGGGCCGCACGAACGCCGCAACAAAAGGGGGAGCGGAAAGAAGAAAGCGAACACGCAAGGAAGCCGCACGAGGCAGAGAGCAGCCGCCGGACGACCAAAGAGAGGGGGGCAGAAGCAAGCAAGACGGCGGGCGAGACGCAAAAGCGAAGGCGAAGCCACAAGGCGGAGAACAAAACACCAGAGGAAGGAGGGAAAGGAGAAAACCCAAGCGCACCGAGGGGCAGACAGGGGGGGGGAAAGGGGGACGGGGAAGGGAAAGGCGCAAGGAAAGACGGGGGACGACGGGGACGAAGGAACAGGCGGGGAGAGGCAGCCACCAGCAAGGCGGAGAGAAGAGGCAACAAAGCAACCAGGGGGGAGAAGAAGCGAGGCACGGGGGGGGGAGGAAAAGCACGACAAAAAGGGCAAAAAGGGGAAGGGAAGCGGGAGGGAGGAAGGAGGGCGAACGAGAGGGGGAAGAGGGGGGGGCAGGAAGGAGAAGAAGCAAGGGAGAGGGGGACGCACCAAAGGGAGGCAAGAGCCAAGGGGAGACCCGAAAGAGCACGCACACCGACAACCGAAAGGGCACCAGAAGGCAAGAAAGGAACGCCAGGAGAGGAACCGAAGAGGCACCCGGCAACAAGGCACAACAAGGAAGCAACAAGGAGCCAACAAGAAGGAAACGCGGAGAAGCCAACAAGGGGCCAACCAAAGCGAAAAGGGCGAAGAAGGCACACACAGGACGGAGGCAGGGGAAAGCCAAGGGACGGAGGAAAGACGCGAGCAGCGACGAGGAACCAACAACAAGAGGCAAGGGGCGCAGGCGGGCGAGCACAACGGGAGCCAAAGAAAAGGGACGAAGCGGGAGCCGAGCCAAGGGGGAGAGAGGCCAGGCAAGAGGAAGGAGAGCAAGGCAAGCGCAACGACGGAGGGAAACGGGGGCCAAGACCAACGCACCAAAAGGGAAGGGCACGAAAGGGGGGGGAGGAACAAAGCAAACGAAGAGGGCGGCAGGGGGAGGAAGAAAGCAAGAGGAGGCGCGAAGGGGAGGCACAAGAAGAAGGCAGGGAGGGGGAGGAGACAGGCGCCCCGGCGCACGACGCGAAGCAAGCCGGAGAGGCCGAGCAGACGCAGCGCACAAGAAGGGCAGCGGAGAGCAAAGGGACGGAAAGAGCGCAGGCGGAAGGGCGGACGGGAGAAGAAGGGGACGGCGAACAACCACCCGGGGGGAGGGAAAAGACGGGGGGGAGCAAGGCGACAAAGGAAAGAAGGCAGGGGAGGGGGGAAAACAAGCGCCGCGAGCGGGGGACGACACCGGGGCAAGGGGCGGAAGGAGGGGGGAGGCACCAAAGGGCGAGGCGAGAAAACCGCGGGAGAAGGCAAGAAAAGAAGCACAGGGGAGGAGGACAAAGGGAGGGGGAGGAGAGGAGCGGGGAAGGACGGAGAAAGCGGGAGGGGAGAAAGGGGCGAAGCGCAGGCAGAACAGGGGCGAGAGGAGGAGGAGGGGAGAAGGAAAGGACGGGGGGGGACGGCAAGGCAAGCCAACGGGAAGAAGGAAGGGGCAGAAAGCAAGCCAAGGACACAAGAGAGCGGAGCAAGAAAGGGGCAGAGAGGGAAAAGCC